TTCAGATAGCCATTAATATCATTTTTCCCATTTTTTTATTTTGTTAATAAATTTACTCGATATTAAGCAGTATGAGCCTTACGACTATTTACAGAGCTCCTTATTCAACTCTTAATTTTTTTGTTCAGCAGGTCATTATTTTTTACATTATATTTTTTATTATATTTTTACTAAATTTACTCGATATCAAGCAGTATAAGCCTTACAAATTTATAAACCTTACAATCTTTTACAGAGCTTCTCTGCTTTATTTTTATCCAACTATTCTTAATCTTTTTGCTTCGTTAGTTATTAATTTCATTTTTCTCATTTTTTGTTTAATTTTTCTCGAAGTTTATTCGATATCAAGCAGTATGAGACCTACGACCTTTTACAGAGCTTATTTGTTTTATTTGTAATCAACTCTACTTAATCTCCTTGTTCAGTTGGTCATTAGTTTCATTTTTGTTATTTTTTCTAATTGTTTACAAAATTTACTCGTTATCAAGCAGTATGAGCCTTACGACCTTTTACAAAGCACCTTCTGTTGCTTTGTTTTACATGATTTTTGTAAGTTTGCAATATTATTTATGAAATGAGAAGTTGCACCTAGTCTGCATTTTATTGCAATTTCTATAATATTTTGAAGCTTTATCATGATATTGGTATAAATTATAAGTAACATTAATAGAAGATATAACAAGTGATTACTATTTAAAATTTATTTTTTATATATTTATTTTCTATATTTCTCGATATTTCCGCATTCGGAAGTAAGTCAAATGAATAATTATTCTATTGACCGATAGTTAAAGTTCAAGAAATGCATTTGAATTCGCCTTTTCGTCTATGAATTTATAACTGAAACCAGAAATAATGGGTTAGATCGATAGTGCAGGGTTAGATGTTATCGAATAATAATATTACAAATAGAATAACATTTACATAACATACATACAAAACAATAACAATGTTTCGTTTTCAAATAAAACAGCGAAGATCGAGAGTCATTTGAGAGAGAAATGCATAAAAACTATTGGCAAAGGCGTAAAAAGTATAACATAAATCGATTCTTCAAACACTATTTTTATTTATTGGCTTTTAAGAATTGACTAGTGGCTAGTATAAGGCAACCCAATGGTTGTCCCATTATATATTTGTTATATTTTTATTACCAGACAACCCAATGTACCTTTTTTAATCGACAATATTTTTACTTTCTGCTGCAATCCCTGGAAATCTTTAACATATTTTTTATCTATATTTTAAAGTTGAAATAAATATTAGATTCAACTCAATGCGGGTTTTAAACTCGGAATCTTGTGGTTGCAAGACCAAGGCTTTATTTTATACTTTCCTTAATAAAATGATCATGATATGCTATGAACAACTACAGGTTTAAATTTCAAATTTGTTGTTTTAGACAACAATTGGATTGATAAAATTAATAGAAATTCGTAAAAACAAAAATTAGATTATCAATATAAATAAAAATATTAAAGGAATAATTCACAGAGAGTGCTGTAGTAAAAAAAAAATAAGTTTGAATGATTGACTGTAATTCTAGTTTGAAAACGTTTAAATTTTGTCTAGAATTAATCAGTTTGTTTCGAAATTTTTGAATTTTTATTATTTAAAATTTTTGAGGCTTGAAATTAATTACGTGATATTATCTATTGCCACTCGTATTTCTGTATTAAAACTTATACATTTTTAATTATTTCTTTGTTATTTTTCATCCATAGTTTAAACTAAACTCATAAGGTCCTCTCAAGTCACCTTGCGGTACTCCATTTTCTATGTTCATTCTGTGCAATACCTGATATTGTTATCGACAACAAAAAAGAATATTTTTTTTGATCCCATACTCGGCTTGTCGAGAATTCCAGAGTATTTTTTTGCCAATTGAATAGTAAACCTATTGACCATAATTTTCCTAGAAACTGGTAGTTTTCATACATGGTTCGAACTAAAGCCATCAAGGACCTCTCAAATCATCTTGCGGTACACCGCATTTTATGTTTATTATTTGCAATACCCGATGATACTGTTGTATTCAATACAGAAGAATAATTTTTTAATCCCATACTCAGTTTGACGAAAATTCCAGAGTATTTTTTCATTAAATAGTAATCCTATAGACCATAATTTTCCTAAAAACTTATTTTTTATCCATGGTTTGAACTAAAGCCCTCAAGGACCTCTTAAGTCACCTTGTGGTACTCCACTTTCTTTGTTTATTTTTCAAAATACGTGATATTGTTGTATTCAACAAAGAAAAATAGTTTTTCAATATACCCATTCTCAATTTGACGAGAATTCTAGGGTATTTTTCGCACATTGAATAGTAATCCTATGAACCATAATTTTCCCAAAATGTTATTTCTCAACCTTGGTTTAAACTTAAGCCATCAAGGTCCTCTCAAGCCACCTTGCGCCACTCCACTTTCTATGTAATATAAAACTAAAATAATAAAATAAAATTTTCTTTAATGCCATATTACTTTTATACCTATGAAATTTTAATTGGACAGTGATTTTGCCACATCTGACACAGTTCCAGCTACACTAGTTCAGACATATGTGCAACTATCACTCAATATGGTTCAATGAACTTCGCTATTATTTATGCAGGCGTTTGTTGCACATTGTATAATATTTTATATGTTTATTTATTTAGTAAATTTATTATATCAGATCAATTTCTAAACTTATATGATTTAACACCTGCACTGATGATATTAAAACTTGCATTAGGCTTTCAAGTGAAAACAACCCTTCCCCGCCATTTCTGCATCCAATAGAGTCAAAAAGTTAAAAAAAAGTTAATTTTTGTCAAAAATTTATTTTTATCAAAGTAATTTTTTTTTAAATATTAATCTCTTTTAAAAAAATATTTTTTTAGAACGGGAAGTTCCAGCAATTTGCCTTAAGTCATGATGCCATGCGGCCTAGTTATTGAAAGTCGGAACGTATCGAGAAGTTCATACAGCCTGCCTTAAGACAAAATGCCACTTACATCTAGTTTCCGTGTAATAGTATTTATAGTTAAAGACTTATTTTGCATCAGCAAGTTATTTATATCTCCCATACTAGAAAAATCCCATCTCGAGATTAATTCAAATTCGCAATCTCACGATAGAGTTTATCATTTTCTGCTGATAGAATTTAATCTTTTCCACAAAAACCAGTTAAAGGCGAATTTGAATTTCGTAATTCGCAATTTGCATCACTTGAGAATTAAAGATGTTGCCGTGTTATGTTATGAGGTCATTATCAACAAATTGTGCAATAAAATATTTTTGTTTTGTCAAATCATTCAAGATATTTACATCTATTAAATTCGTGATCTTGTTGTTGACAACGGGAATTTAGTTATCACTAGTGTACTACTTATGTTTACTACTGCTTTGGAAAAATAGTTTTTTTTTGGGCAATTTCATGCTTGAGATAATGATGATGTCCGTGTCGATTTTTTTAAAAAAAAAACCTTCCATAAAAAGAGATTTAAGATTCTGAATTACAATATTTAGTAAAAGCTTGCAGCCCATAGAATTTGAAGATATTTCTAGAAAATTTAAATTTTTTAGGCTTTAAGATGCTCCTAGAGGAACTTTTAGATTTTCTTAACCCTTTCGTTACGAGCCTCACCTATAGACTTTATTCACATAACTACCTGTGTGTACGGTTGTCGTCTATAGACGACATCTACATGGTGACCTGAACGTACAGGTGTCGCTGTATTTTAAGATATTCCTAAAATAATTTTTAGGATCTTCTTAACCCTTTCGCTACTAGCCTTATCTATAGACTTCATCCACATGACTACCTGTATGTACGGGTATCGCCTGTAGACGACATCTGTATGATGACCTGATCGTACAGGTGTCGCTGTATTTTAAGATGTTCTTAGAAAAACTTTTAGTCTCTTCTTGACCCTTTTGCTGCGGGCCTCACCTATAGACTTCATCCACATGACTATCTGTGTGTACGCGTGTCGCCTATAGACAACATCTACATGACGACATGAACCAATAGGTGTCGCTGTATTTTAAAATGCTTCTAGAAAAACTTTTAGTCTCTTCTTGGCCCTTTAGTTATACGAGCCTCACCTATAGACTTCATCCACATGACTACCTGTGTGTACGCGTGTCGCCTATAGACGACTTCTGTATGACGACCTGAACATACAGGTGTCGCTGTATTTTAAGATGTTCCTGCAAGAACTTTTAGGATTTTCTCAAAACCCTTTCGCAACGAGTCTCACCTATAGACTGTATCCACATAACTACCTGTGTGTACGAATGTCACCTATAGACGACATCTGCATGACTACTTGAACGTATAGATGTCACTATATTTTAATATGTTCCTAGAAGAACTTTTAGGATCTTTATGGCCCTTTAGCTACAAGCCTCACCTATAGACTTTATTCACATGACTACCTGTGTGTACGGGTGTCGCCTATAGACGACATCTACATGGCGACCTGAACGTACAAGAGTCGCTATATTTTAATATGTTCCTACAAGAACGTTCAGTAACGTTTTCTTAACCCTTTCGCTACAAGCCTCACCTATAGACTTAATCCACATAACTACCTGTACGTACTGGTGTCGTCTACAGACGACTTCTGTATGACGACCTGAACGTACAGTAGTCGATGCATTTTAAGATGTTCGTGAAAGAACTTTTAAGATCTTCCTAAAACCCTTTGGCTGCACGCCTCACCTATAGACTTCATCCACATGACTACCTGTGTGTAAGAATGTCACCTATAGACGACATCTGCATGATCTAAACGTACAGGTGTCGCCTATAGACGACATGCAGTGTGTCGATAGTTACTTCAAAATTTACCATCATGAGTTAAACTTTTGAGAATTGTAATTTGTTATGGTAATTGTTAGTTCCATTACACATTACCTTTTTGACACAGCCTGCTGCATCTTGGTTTGAATCATTACAATTTTTTAATTTTGGATTCTGACGTATTTTTATTATTTTTATTTTTCTTCCAGAATGGCATCGCAAAAAGTCTACGTATTGCCATCATTGGACAAAGTGCATTTGCTGCTGAAGTTTACGAAGTACTAAGAGAACAAGGACACCAAATCGTAGGAGCGTTTACTATTGCTGACAAAAATGGAAGAGAAGATCCTCTGGGTATATAATATGATAATAACAATTGTCTTTCATATTATAATCATATTACATACTTTACAAGTTATATGTTTTAGCAATTGTTGCCAAAAATGGAGGAACACCAGTTTTTAAGTATACCACTTGGCGTAAAAACAAGATCACTATTCCTGAAGTTTTTGAACAATACAAATCGGTAAGAAATTGAAATATGAAAACAAAATAAGATTTCCGTATGATTCAATTATTTGGAAATGTTTTTATCGATATTTTTTAGGTAAATGCTGAATTAAACGTGATGCCTTACTGCTCCCAATTTATACCACTGGAAGTGGTAGAATGGGGTCTTGGTTCCATTTGTTACCATCCAAGTATTTTACCAAGACATCGTGGAGCAAGTGCAATATCATGGTAAATAAAACAAATAAACTATCAATAACCAAAACAAATTTCATATCTCGAGAAAAAACAATTTTCTGAAAAAAAATGCGCCCGAATTAGGAATGTTGTATGACTCTGAATCTAATTAGTATTTTTTAATCTTAGACAATATTTTTCCAATTTAGGTCTATCCATATGCTGAGTGTTCGCTACAAGCAAACTATCAGTTAATTTAAAAAAAATTCTTATATTTTCTAGGACATTAATAGAAGGTGATGAACGAGCTGGTCTATCAATTTTCTGGGCTGATGACGGTTTGGATACAGGTCCAATTTTAATGCAAAAGCAATGTGAAGTACTACAAACCGATACACTGGATTCTATTTATAAGAGATTTTTGTATCCAGAAGGTAAAACATAATTGATAAATAAATTATTTTGCTTAAAAAAGTCATGTAAATTAATTATTTTCTGTTAGGTGTAAGAGCATTAGCAGAATCCACAGCTCTCATAGCAAATGGAAAAGCACCCAAAATTATACAAAGTGAGGTTGGAGCAACTTATGATCCAATTTTGACCAAAAAAGAAAATCAAATTGTAAGATATGCATTATATATATACAAAGGTAAAGATTAAATACAAAAGTCTACTTACTTTTATTACAGATAAATTGGGCACAACCTGCCAAAAGGTTATTCAATTTCATTAGAGCTTTGGATTCAGTTCCTGGAGCTGTTGCATATTTTCTGGAAGAAGAAGAAATTGAGGTAAAAATATGAATAGCAGATATTTTAATTTCAAAACTGAATCAATATGAATAATGCATTAAAAAAAAAATTTTTTTTAACTTATAGCATAGACTTATGATGATGTTGCGATGATAGTAGGTTTGTTCAAAGATAGATTATTATTATTGATCAAAATTTAGACATATAGAACATTCATTTCAATTCCATATGTAATCATAAAATTTAAAATAAATATTTTCATTTCCAGATAAGATTATTTGGTGCTTCTATTCTGGAGTTTGCTCCAAAAGGTGAAGGTGTCACCATCAAGGGTTTAAACCAGCAGGGAATAGTTCACGAAAATGGAATTGCAATTCGTGGTACTGATGGAAGATATGTGAGTCCTTGAGAAAAAATATTGGAAAATATATATTTGTAAAATTTTTAAGGCGTTCTCATAATATTTCAAATCAAATAAGAAAGCAACTAATAGATAGTTGATGATTATAATAATTCATTTTATTAGATTCACAATTTTATTTCAAAATAATTCATTCTTCTAGGTGAATGTTAAACGTATAAAAATGAATGGTAGAATGATGAACGCATCCGAATATTTCACCGCCAAAAACAGTGGTCAACAAGAGGAACTCGTACTGACACCAGATGAGCAAGACAATGTGGACACTTTGAGAAAACTCTGGAAAGGTGTTTTAGGAACAGAAATCGATGATGAAACTGATTTCTTTGCCTGTGGAGGAGGATCTATGGACGTTGTCAGGTAAAAAAAAATCTACCACATCATTTTGTAAAAAGAATATTTTTGGCATGAGAAAGTGTCAATTTTCAACTTATCATTAGAATAATTGAGGAAATCAAAGAAGCCGTTGGAGTAACAATGGAAAACGAAGATCTCTACATGAATCCAACATTCGGAGATTTTGTCAGGCGTTTTATATCTGGTCAACGTGATGGTGGATCTGGAGGAAGCGGAATCGAATTTGATGGCGTCGAAATTAAAGCCAATGGTCGAATTTGCAAAGTGGCCACTCAACTATTCATTGGTGGTAAATTCATCAATGCTGAAAACAATAATTCCTTGAAAATTTTCAATCCTACTACAGAAGAAGTCATTTGCAATGTGAGTAATAATACTAAAAATGATAAAAAACCTATAGTAAATAATATGTGGTTTTGTGCAGGTGCAAGCTGCTTCCAAGAATGATGTAGATTTAGCTGTAAAAGCAGCAAGTGCAGCTTTCAAAGGTGCTTGGTCAGCAATGTCGCCTAGACAAAGGGGCTTGATTTTGCTGAAACTTGCTGATCTTATGGAGGAACATAAAGAAGAGTTGGCTACTATTGAATCTGTAGATTCTGGTAAAAATAGAAATGACAATACAGTTTGATTATTTCCTTAGACAAGTCGTCAATTTCTCAATTAACCATATCTTTATTAGACTTTATCTAACTTTATCTTTATTTGAAGGTGCTGTATATACATTGGCTCTGAAAACTCACGTTGGCATGTCCATAGAAGTCTGGCGTTACTTTGCAGGTTGGGCTGATAAAATTGAAGGAGCTACTTTACCCGTGACTCCAAATAGGCCAAATGGAGTTTTATCATTTACGCGAAAAGAACCAGTCGGGTAATTAGAAAAAATAGTTTTATCCAACATTAAAAAATTATGATACTATTAGTCTAAATGTTCACTACAAATTTTGTTAGAACTCTAGCTAAATTCGGTCAAACTTATATTCTGCTTATTTTAGTGTATGTGGATTAGTGACACCCTGGAACTACCCTCTCATGATGTTATCATGGAAAATGGCAGCTTGTTTAGCTGCTGGAAATACTGTTGTTATGAAACCTGCTCAAGTGTGTCCTTTAACTGCCTTGAAATTTGCAGAACTAGCTGCTAGAGCTGGTGTACCTGCTGGAGTCATCAACATAGTACCAGGAAAAGGTAACAAAATTATCATGGATCAAATAATGTTCAGGAATCTAAAATAATCTATGATTCCAGGATCTCAAGCTGGTCAAGCAATCGTAGACCATCCATTGATTCGTAAAGTCGGATTTACTGGAAGTACTGAAGTTGGCAAAGGCATTATGTCTTCAGCAGCTTTGGCTAATTTGAAGAAAGTTTCTTTAGAATTAGGTGGTAAAAGTCCTTTAGTGATATTCAGAGACTGTGATTTGGAAAAGGCTGTCAAAATTGTAAGTAATAATAATAAACAATAAAAAAACTATTTATTGCATTATAGTTAATATTATTTTAATTTTTGAAGGGAATGCAAAGTGTGTTCTTCAACAAAGGAGAGAATTGTATCTCCGCTGGTAGATTATACGTAGAAGATTCAATTCATGATGAATTCGTGAGAAGAGTTTGTCATGAGGTCAGGAAAATGAAAATTGGTGACCCATTGGATAGAGGTACCTCACATGGACCTCAAAATCATAGGGAACATATGGAGAAACTTCAAGAATTCTGCAAACGAGGTAAGGGGATTAAGGAATTATCAGTCTCATTTCAACTACAGAAATTTAATATACATTTTGATGTTTCCTACTCAACTTTTTCCTTCAGGTGTGGAGGAAGGGGCAAAATTAGAAATTGGTGGCGACAGAATGCCAATGAAAGGATTCTTCTTTGCACCGACAGTCTTTTCAGGAGTAACTGACGACATGTTCATTGCTCAAGAAGAATCTTTTGGTCCTATTATGGTTGTTCTGAGATTTGATGAAAGGTAATAAAAGACTTGATGAAAGTAAAAATTAACTTGAAATATGAAATATCATAGGATTTTTTTGTGTTTTTCAGTGATTTAGATGCTGTGATCGCTCGTGCAAATGACACGGAATTCGGATTAGCTGCTGGTGTCTTCACCTCAGATATGTCAAAGGTAAATTTAATATTTTTTATTTATTTATTATATAAAATAGTTATATATTTTTGATCCAATATTATTATTTTGATAAATTATTATATTTTTAGGCCCTGAGATTTGCAGAAAAAGTTGAAGCTGGAACAGTTTTCGTAAACACTTATAACAAAACAGATGTAGGAGCACCATTTGGTGGTTTCAAGCAAAGTGGTTTTGGCAAAGATTTAGGTAAATAAAGGAAATTGATTCATTAGTACTATATATCATTGTTCTCGAGAATAAATATTGAAATCGCATGTTTCACATAAATTGATCGACGAAAATTTTTAGACAATAAACTTTATTAACAAATTAATTTTTCTTCAAACGAGAACAGTTTTTGAAAGTTTTATCTTGAATCTGACTTCTTAAAGATCTTTTGTAAAAAAAATTATACAAATTTTTGAAGAGTTAGTTAAACATAGTCTGTAATTTTCGAAAAATCTCAAACATTTTTAAAAACCTTGCATATTTTTTTAATGATTTCAAAATCATTATAAACAAATTTTAACTGTTATTTAGAAATTAAGAGTTTTATTTGTTCTTTGATCTTTGATTGATTGATTTGATTCTTCAGATCAGATTTGTTTTAAAATTTATATTAGTTTTTAATTGGTACTTATACTTTTTTTTAAATTCTTAAATTTTTGTAGGAACTGTTTTAAAAAAAATCTGATTTAAAGAATCTGAGCAAAAAATCAAGCAAATTTGAAAATAAATACCAAAATAATCGCCTTAAAAACATGTATCATCTTAAGTTTCATAGTCTATTATTTGTTAATTTCTATAATTTAAATAAGTTTTACAACAATTTAATAAAATCTATTTTTTTTTCTAGGTCGAGAAGCCCTCAATGAGTATTTGAAGACAAAATGTGTGACAATAGAATACTAAAATCACATCACTATAAAAATCATATAAAAAAATAATTATATATTTTTTATAATTTATATCAAAGTGCTCTCATGTTTTTTATAAATCATTAGATAATAAGAGAATACAACATTTTTGTATATATATAATTTTTTTTTTATTTATATATATTGAAGACGGTATTCAAATGTCATGTAAAAGATAAAATTAAATTCAAATAAAAATGAAATAAATTTAATGTAGTACTTATTATATTTACTATTTATTTTTTGTGTCAAACGATTGAACTGACTAAGAACGTCAAGGAATTAAATTTTTTAGGAAAGTTAAGAAATGTTTTAAAAAATATATATTTATTTATTTTTTTTATTTTGTAATCAATTCGTTGAATTCCATTTTAAAGACATTATTTTCTTAAATTATTATTCTTATTATCTTGAAAGTTTCGAAATAGATTTCAGTGAAAGGATTGAATATATAATTAGAACAATTATAGAAATCTACAAATTTCTCAAACCTTCGAAATGTGATTAGTTTCTAATTTCAAAGTTTGAAACTGATTAAATAATTATAAACCGATCATGGGAAAGTTTTACTTATAACTTGTTTTAAATTATAATCAATAATTGATTGATTAAAATTATTGGCAGTGACGGCGATAATTTTATATAGAAGGACTATTTTAATAGTAAGTCAATGAGAATAATAGGGCAATTCTGCCATTATGCTTGTTTCTTGGTATTGAAAGCTGTGAAGGACAAAAATGACAAAACTGCCCCATAAATTTGTACTGCCATTTTTTTCATAGAGAATGTTAATCCAGTTATAAATTTTAAAATTGCAGAATGATTTACTGCAAGGCCAGTAATAATATATTTTTAAATTATTGTATTGTCAATTTTTCTTAGAAATTTTTCATAAAATAATGGATGTGTGTGTACGTGTATGTATGTATGTATGGATACAATTTTTCGTCCACGTTTTCGGAGGCACGGATCAACCAATTTGAATGGTTCAAGAAATATTCAATTCCTATTGCTGGAAATATAAGTGTCGGCAAAGGCAGGTCTAGCCGTTTCTGAGATAAGGAGCAACGAGTGAAGAAAATAGAAATCGAGTTTTTTTTAAAAGCGAAGCATCCGATCTGAATGATCCAAAAAATATTCAATTCGCAATGATGGGGAGAAGTGGTGAACAGATTTGGCAGGTCTAGCCGATTTGGAGAACTAAGCGTCCGATTAAAAAAACTGACAAACAATTGCTTTTGGGGGAAATATCTTTTTTCCATTTTTTTTTTGTAATTTCCAAAAAATTTTTGTTTACTAAATTTTATTCTTCGAATATTTATTTACGGCGTGGAAAGTTCCAGCAATTTGCTTTGAGGCACGATGCCATACACCACTAGTTTTTGTTTAACCTCATGATTAAAACCCGGAACTTTATGGTAACAAAACCTTTTGATTATTTACCAGTTTTATATAAAATGTAATAAAATGAGATGAATAAAATTGGTTAATAAGATTGATGAATTAGATTGCCTTATAACAATCAAATATTTTTATTATCGAGGATAAACAAAAAATTTCGTAAGTTATTCCTGTTTATATATTATCAATGTTATAGCAATTTCAATCTACATTTGAATAATTTTTCTCATAAATATATCCTGAAAACAACTAAAAGCTAAAAAAAATCTGACATACTTATACAAATTTCCATTTAAAACAGATATTTAAGATTGTAAAGAATTATTTAAACTAAAAATCATATCATGCATTATTTGCATTTTTCATGCACGTATATCTAAAAACCAATCATTGAATGCAGAACCTTGTGGTTGCAAGGCCGAAGCCTTACCATCAAGCCACATATACTCCAACATATCAATGAACAAATAAGAAAATTCATAATTCTAAATACTAAAATTTCTTTTTGACCAAAACCCAATCATTTGTTGATAGAAATTGCCTAATAGGATTTAATGCATTTGAACTATTTTTTTTTTAAATTAGAAGATATGTAATTTTTTACATAATCAGTCCTTTATTATATGAAGTTTAAAAAAAAAACAATTTACAAGATAGAAAGTTTGTATAGTACGCCTCTGCTTTCAACACGATTTCTTAAGTAGTCTAATAAGTATAATATCGAGAAACATTAATAACCAGTTAAGCCTTTGCCTAACACTGATAGTTCCCAAAGTGAATTGGATCTTAGTAAAATGCCTTCAATAAAAACCGACGATCCAAAACCCACCAACTATTTTACAACAAACATCCTACTAATGAAATCCTTAGCCCTTTATCCATTCAAAGGAACTGGTCAACGAATCTTACCCACAATATCATTTTTTGTCTACGCAATATTCGTCCATATATCCTTTATCCACATGATCTACATTTTAGTGGTGGATGCTTACAAGGAATTTAATGGAGATATTTCTGCAATAGCCTTCAAAGTGGCCAATGCAATTGCTTATTTGACAGGAAGCTTAACAGTTGTGTTTTTTCATGTGAGGATGCCACAATTGTGTCAAATGCTGAAAATGTTGAACAGGAGTCTAAAAGTTAGGTCGGATTTGGGATTTGATTACGTTACTGTCGACGGCAGTTATGAAAGACAGAGGAAGGTCAATAAAGTTTGGATCTATACTGTCATCTTGGGTAAGTTGAAAAAGAATTTTATCTTGACCAAGACCAATCATCTCATACAGGTTACTAGTTGAAACCAATATTTAAACCTGATCATCTACATTTTATCCTATTTCCAGGTTGCCAACATCTATCCCTATATCCAATAATTGTCCAAGAACGAGTTCTTCCAATAGCTGGATCGTATCCATTTGATTCTTCTGTTTTTCCCAATTACGAATTGATGTTTCTATGGCAAGCTATATGTCAACTTTTGATAGCTTTGGCATATTTAGCTTTGTCCTGTTATTACATAAGTGTCGTCGTGATGCTTTGTGGACAATATGATGTCTTGTTCTGCAGCCTGAAGAATTTGTTCTATGCAGCAATCATCGAAAGTGGGACATTCAGTGACCAAAAATTGAGGTGAGATGGTAAAAGTCACATGGTAATGGTTTTTTGGTAATCTCACCATGATTCTTGATCTCATACCAAAAGACATATTAGTCATATTTTATGTGAATTATATGCAATTTTTATTTCAATCTGAGTCGAAATTTGATGTGATGGAGTCATTAAAATGATCAGGTTTGATATGTGATCAGATTCCTAGACAAAAACTAGCGATTTATAAATAACTGGCAATAATATTATATGTATGGTCAATTTTTTGATGAGTCATTAACAGATCTTTTCTCTTCTTTATTCTGGCTACTAATCATTGAGCTAATTATGATAACCAATTCTCTTATGCTAACTATGCAATATTTTTACTTCTCAGAGAACTACAAGATAAATATTTAACCATGGATCAAGAAGCAAACGAATACTACACATCAACAAGCACCAAGGAAAACCTGTCATCACTGCCGAATGATGTAACTTGGACATCCCCAATTGAAACCCTCACTTCAACATCTAAAATCAAAGCAAATAAAGTTGAGTTACAAAAATGTATCGAAAAATTCGATTTGGGTTCCACCAGAAGTTACGTTACGGAACAGACAAATGTTACGAGCAATTCAAAGTTGGCCCTGAACGATTATTATTATACAGAGCTGGATTGGGAGTTGAATAATGCGATTGTGAGATGTGTTAAACACCATTTGTTTATAATGGATTGTTGTGCAAATTTTAAAAAATTGTACAGTCCGATTATTTTGATTAAAGCACTGCAAATTTCGTCGTTTTTGGGGATTGCTGCTTATGGTGGATCGGTGGGTAAAAATATAAATTAGAATTACCTATTTTTTGTTTTGTTTTGAACAGAATTTTGATGCTCTTTAAGTTCTTCTTAAGCAAATCAGATAACACCATAAATATAAAAATGATACTTTAATTGATGATTTTCTTTTTAGAGTCCTAACTTGGATGGAGCTCAAATCGTTAATATTGTCGAGTATCTATTTTTATCTACAACAGATTTATTTATCTTGTGCTATTTTGGACAACAACTTTTTACTCAGGCAAGTTAAAAAAAACATAAAATAATAAATAATAAATAAGGAGAGATACAGCTATATAAAAACTAGCAAATGCATAAAAAGTTTCTAAAAAACAACAATACGCAATTGATTATATTAAAGCTTTCTTTGAAAAACAAAACACAAAAATTTATTAAATGAAAAACAAATATTATTAAATTAACAAAACATCTAAATTATTTATATGAACTTGCACTGAATATGAGTAAAATGATCAAAACTCGAAATGTTTGTTTTCAATGCAAATTAAAGTTTTTAAACTTTTTTTAAATAATTGTATGAATGCATGAAATACTGTTTTGTTATATTATTATATAGTTTCAATTTCATAATAATTTTATGATTTTTTTATATTAGAGCGATCGTGTAAAAGAAGCCATCTGCAGAGCCCCTTGGCACCTTTTTGGTGGTAAAGCCAGGAGGTCCATGAGAATCTTATTGGCAGCTGTTAATAGGCCTGTGGTTTTAACTGGAATGGGGTTTTATCGTATTGATTTAGCTCAATTTAGAACGGTAATCATTTTTAACAATTTAAAAAACTAATAAAATAACAATTCATAAACTCGACACTCGGACCTTGTGTTTTACATTAGTGCTTCTCTACTTTTTTAGGCCATTTTACAATTTTTTGTATATAGATATTTTAACAATTGGACTTTTTTTCTCAATTATTAAACATATATAATAATTTTATAACGTTTTACGTTATTCAATGCATTTCATTATTTTTTAAGCTTTTTTAATATTGAAATGAAAATTTGTATATCAGAACTTAAAATAATTTGTCTTTCCAATAATTAGCAAATTTATTTGAATAGAACAATTGAATATTAGTTATTTAATTATAGCAAAAAGTATTATTATATATTATTAATTCTCAATATATTTTAGATTTTGAGTGCTTCGTTCTCTTACTTCACACTATTGAGAAACATGCAGAAACAAGATATGTGAATTCAATATAAAATTAAATAATTGATAAATTATATTTATTAAATTATATATATATATATATATATATATATATTTAATTAATTAATTATAATTATGTCAACATTTTCTAAACATTTAATAATTATATCAACGTTTTCAAAAACTATCTAAATTTATATTTTTACTATGAATTGTTTAGAAAATTCATTCCCAATAATTAAAGTGTAATATTTTATACAAATTTAAAACCTTCAATTTACTCGAGTATAAAAATGGTAATTATTTAAACAATTACAGACCAAAATATTTTTGAACACATTGGTGTAAATTATTATCACTGCTTGAGAAGAAAAAACATCACTTCATTAGATCGCATAAATATAAAATTATACAATTCTATAAATATACATATATACAATTTTATATATGTATTTATAAACTAATTTAGTGTTTTTTTGGGTATGTAAATCTTTCGACTTCTTAGTATTTTAAATCCAGTTCGTTTAAACTTATAAGTCCTAGGTTTTGCAATTCATTATTTAGAAAAAATTTTAATAACAGTATAAATAAGTTAATGTTTGTTTTGATATGCTTTATTTATAAAATATATAGTAATAAATACACATACACATATATATACATATGTATAAAAATTTGCATCTTATACATAACATATAGAATTGAATGTGCTAGATATTAATCTAAGAATTATTAACATGAAATAAATATTTATGAAAAATAATATTCAGTATAAAATTCCTAGTGATATATGATATATGATTTGGAATTTACTTACTAAAGTAAAATGATATTTAATGATTAACAATAGCATTATTAATTATGCATGCATTTTCTAACTGTGAATTATTAACAAATTAAATAAATATCACAATTTTGGCGTGAATGAAATTCCTGAACAGTTAGAAAATGCATCATATCAACATTTTGTTTATTTATCAATAAATAACAAATTGTTAATTAAGCCTTAGGAAAAATAGCAGTTGTATAATATACATTTATAGTTATAATTTAATTACTCTCGTATTATAAACTTAAATAACTCATTCAGAAACAAAATAGCAACAGCTTTATTAGAAAAAAATCAGTAAGAATTCTGATAATTATCCCATTCAATGATTAGACCATATATGATAATTTTATTAATGGAAGGCATATAAAAATAACAATATCGTACAAACTGCTATCACAAAACCTAAAATTAAAGAATCTGAACGTTTCCTGATGCGTATCCTTTGCATAAGATTATTTATCACTGGAAATTTGTTATTGATATCATTAAATCGTGTTTTCATTCTCTTGAATGTTTGTCTTTGTGATAATAGATTGTCCCTCGTTTCTACGGCTATGCTTATTTGGTCATTTACTAAGTTGTGGGAACTAAAAAATAAATTTAAATAAATTATATATATATATATATATATATATATATAAGATGTTAAAAATATTCAATCTATTTTTCCTGAATAGTTAACTTGCTATAAGGCTGCTTTCATTTATCTGATTATTTGCAAATTTTACATAAAATTTATGAGTGAACTAATGATGTAAAATTCACTCAAAATATAAATATTCACTGAGTAAACATTAATTTAATGATTTAGTTAGTTCAAACTAATCCAATCATTCAATATTTAATCAATATTTTTCATGTTGATATCATTTGTTGTATTGAATAAATTTAACTATTTTTTCAAATATATTTCAAAATTAACCATAGAGTTTTTAAATAATTTAGATGTAGCATAATTTGTTGTAGTGAATAAATTTACCAACTACTATGATAATACTTATCAATATATCAAACTGTAAGAGTGTTTCAATTGAAAGCTGAAATAAATGATTGAATAAAATATTAACCGTCTTAAACTTGTTTATAATTGAATTTTTAATCCTAAAAGCATAAATTTAATGAAGTCCTCAAAAATATTTAAAAGGCCTTTTGGGATTTCCATTAACATATGATGTTTTCTGATTATTGAAGATTTATATCAAATACAGATGCATGTCGAGTATTTTTGCAGTAAACTACATGTATCTATAATGCCATTAACTATAAAAAATCTTCCAGTTATACATATGCCCACAATTAACTGGTAAGTTATACCAATATATGTACTTTGGACAAGGACAAATAAAGCAAATTTCCAAAATAAATAAAATTACTACATATTTGTATATTTAGTTTATTATATACCTGTTAATGTGTGAGCTTTCTTTCAAAAACAAATCACGTCTATTTAGGCCAGCATTAACAGAATTCATTTTATCCATTGAACTATCATTATCTCGCAATAATTCTTCTCGTTCTCTCCTTGAATTATGGTTAGATTGTATCTTTCTAAACTCCTGTTTGTAACCCTGATAATAATAATAAATAAGCTTACACAATAACAATTAAATAAATATTTCAAATTGTACAGTTTTTTAGTTATTACAATCCAGAGTCTTATTTTACTACAAAGGGTATGGGCGTGTTTTCATACAGAATTGGCCTCACCCTGGTATTTAAATTATTTTGATGCCATTTTATAGATATTTTCGAGAAAATTCGATATACTAAATTTTAAATTCGTAGCTCATCATTTGGCCGAGATATCAGTGAAAACATGTGAAAGTGGCCCCTTTTTTCAAACTCACTTTTTGTCGGAAATATGAGAGATATCGAAAAAATGTGAACATCATTCTATTTGTACTGATCTTGTCTATATTATTTATAATGAATAATGTTAAAAAATTGTCATTTACTGGATGAAAAGTTGAAAATAAGTTTTCATTTTAAATTTTCGACCAGTACGGTTAATTTGACTACTTTCTAAATAGCATCATTTTAATGCCTGTATATTTTACTTTTATTATCCAAAATTATATTTAAATCGAAGTGGAACTTTTTATAAAAAGTTGAAAAAACCGAAGGTAGTACACGCGGAATCCGTATTCCATATTCTATATAAAGGTAATACTTATTTAAAAAATAAAACTAGATATATACATTTATGTCTTTTATATTCATATATTTATGTATATAATTATTGTAGTTATATATTTATATACAATGTTTTTTTGTTTTGAAATTATACCTAAAACTTTATTTGCTTTTTATATTTTATATTGTTACTGTATATTATTTTATAACGATAGAAATACATAAATAAATAGTCACTATATTTACCATAGTAATATGGAAGTTGAGTTACAAAGTTATTAATACACTTTTAATCGTAGTCGCTATCATTGTTAATAGAAACTGTAGTTCTTTCTGTTATAAATATTACGTCTTTTATATTTATATTTTGTGTATACAAAATAATGATGCATTCAATCATTCACTCACAATAAAAACTAAATATACAATTATTCTTTGAATAACAATTGGAATATTGAGATAAAAATACGTTCTTTACTATGTCATATCTTTATCGATACTGCAATAATACAAAGATAGAAGAATATAATATAAAAAATTCTTAGTAATTTGAAATGCTCTAGCCTTGTTACTTAATTTTATTTTAAAAAATGCGTCAGTTTGTGTTTAAGCTGCTTCCAGTATAGTTACTTCAAGAATTTATAATATATCAGAAAATATAATGTTTCGGTAATTACTGTCATAGATTTCACAGTTATTTTATTTTAGTTGTTTGCTTTTTTGTGTTCTGTGTGAAATCTGTATTTAGATTTTTTCTGATTCAAATTCATTGTTATTTTAGTGAGAGCTTTGGTGGTTTAGTGGGTATTTTAATAATTTCATAATTATAAACTTAATAGAAACAATAATGCCGAAAAATTGCAAAATCTGCAATAAACAAGTGTTTAAAAAGTTTGTATTAACAATGTTAATACAAGTTAAACAGTTTCTATTAACAATGATAGCGACTACGATTAAAAGTGTATTAATAACTTCGCAACTCAACTTCCATATTACTATGGTAAATATAGTGACTATTTATTTATGTATTTCTATCGTTATAAAATAATATACAGTAACAATATAAAATATAAAAAGCAAATAAAGTTTTAGGTATAATTTCAAAACAAAAAAACATTGTATATAAATATATAACTACAATAATTATATACATAAATATATGAATATAAAAGACATAAATGTATATATCTAGTTTTATTTTTTAAATAAGTATTACCTTTATATAGAATATGGAATACGGATTCCGCGTGTACTACCTTCGGTTTTTTCAACTTTTTATAAAAAGTTCCACTTCGATTTAAATATAATTTTGGATAATAAAAGTAAAATATACAGGCATTAAAATGATGCTATTTAGAAAGTAGTCAAATTAACCGTACTGGTCGAAAATTTGAAATGAAAACTTATTTTCAACTTTTCATCCAGTAAATGACAATTTTTTAACATTATTCATTATAAATAATATAGACAAGATCAGTACAAATAGAATGACGTAATCAGTTTTTCGATATCTCTCATATTTCCGACAAAAAGTAAGTTTGAAAAAAGGGGCCACTTTCACATGTTTTCACTGATATCTCGGCCAAATGATGAGCTACGGATTTGAAATTTGGTATATCGAATTTTCTCGAAAATACCTATAAAATGGCATCAAAATAATTTAAATACCAGGGTGGGGCCAATTCTGTATGGAAACACGCCCAGACCCTTTAATAGACTTCTATATAAAATTTACTAATTCCACATAAAACTTTTGTTATTCAAATTAATTTATTATTACATTGTCTTCAAATACTGCGCACATTACTTTTTGCAGTTTAAGATTAGGATAAGCAAACAGAATTCATTATATTTAAAATTTTATATTTAGTAATAATTGCGCTAAATTCTTTGAAATTCTAAATTCTATAATTTTTTTAGTTATTGTGGTTATTTTTAATTACTTTTCTTTATTAAAATAGCAATTTGTGATTATTTTGGAAAAAGTGGCATCAGTATCTACTTCGTTCAGTCATAGAAGTTATCCATTATTCATCTATTACCATTTTACCGTATAGTTAGGAATCTACCAAGAAATTATGCCAAACAAAATAATTTGAGTGTGTTAGCAATTATGGGATCTCAGTTTCTCATTTCTCAGTTTTTTTTTCACTTCTTTTTTTTTCAATAAGAAAATTATCAACTATTTTACGATTTTACGATTTTACAATCCTGATTAAATGCACCAACTTTTTATGCAACTTGCCAACCTATTTAGTATGGGTGGGCCTCTCAAAGTTGACCCAAATTTAAAAATTTTAAATTCATGGTTTAACAAAATATTAATTTTTGAAAACTTGGGGCAATTATATCATTATTCTTGACTGTGCTCCAAGAAATGTTATTCACCATTACAGTTCCAAAGTTTTAATGAACAAAAGTAATAAAAGTCACTCACAAATAATCAAAAAAAGGTCATAATTTCACCAAAGCTCTAGGTTACACTTGAAAACTCACAATTAACAAACAACATGAGATGAATTTTTCAGAATAGTTATAGCGAATACTATAACCCCGTCTTAGCTAGACATTGAGTTCTGGGAAACCCTGTATAATATATATACATATATATATATATACATATATATATATATATATATATATATGTATGTCGTGTATGTGTATATTATTAAATGATATAAAAGTTTGTCATTTACCTGTAATATTTCCCTATGTCTTTGAATTGTATGCAACATAGCAGCACCACTAGCCGGTAGCTCAGACATTTTCTCATTTAGTGTAGATAACTTAAAACAAACCAATTTTAATCTAAACAATTCAAAACTCAAATAATATTAAACCTATAATTACTTTCTCCAGCATTCCATCGATTTCCATAGCCATATTATCACAAATATGTTCTCCGAGCAGGGGTGACTTATCGCTTCCCCCAGAGGATAATCCCCCAGGGGAAGATATCCCCATTTTAGAAAAGGCTACCAATTTTAAATCTACATCGTTTTCTAAATGCCGAGCTTGCTTTCGCAAATCTAGAAAGGAAGAAATTGGGTTATAAAGCAAAAAATATCTGGCATTGTATTTTACGAGGTCTAAAGACTTGTGTTTGATGTGGAATTATTATTATATGTTTATTTTGTTATTATTTACCTTCCCAGCTCATTGTTTGCGCCTTTACAGCCATTATTTTAGTTCACTTATTAAAACGTACATTAATAAAGCGGTGACGTTTATTTGACAGCTCAAAGATCAACTGTCAGAAGAAATACAAATGGCGGGCCCAAGGCGACAAGGCGGTTTTTTTGAAAATTGAAGATTCAAAATATTTATATTTTTGAAATTTGATAATATTGGCAATTTTTTTTATTATATTTTTAACAGCAATCAGAACCTTACGTCCTATGAGCTGTTGGGCTGAAACTTCCCCTCACTTCGTATTTTTAGATGGTAACCCAATGGTTAATCATGGGTTAATCCATCCATATTTGATGATTTTTGTTATTAGAATTAATCTTATCGCACAAAAGTAAAAAAAAAAGATCTTAGATAACAGGGTCTATCTGACCCAGCTTCATAACATACGAGTGACGTTGCAGTTCATTTGTAAAACGCCTGAATGCACAGCAAATACATGACATTTTGGCAGTATTCAGAATGATTCAGTAGCATAATGTATCGAAGTTGAAGCGTAACATGGCCTTGCCAGAACATTATTCTGTTGTGCGGTAAAATCGACCCATAAGTTTTTCATAAAAAACATTTTAACAAAGAATTACGAAGAAATGGCGTGACTGATCTTTACCAAAAACTTGTCAACGCGATTCCCAACAAATATTTCTCGAGAAGTTTTTGAATTTTTAAAATCGATGGAAGATTATGGGTGTGGAAGATTGTAGAGTGTCAATGCAGACAAAAATTCTCACTTTTTTCTACTAATTATAAAGAAATAAAAAGGCAACCTGACATTGCGCAGTAGAGATGTCCATTTGCACTTGAAAATGGAAATCAAAATTATGTTTGTTATTATTTACCTTCCCAGCTCATTGTTTGCGCCTTTACAGCCATTATTTTAGTTCACTTATTAAAACGTACATTAATAAAGCGGTGACGTTTATTTGACAGCTCAAAGATCAACTGTCAGAAGAAATACAAATGGCGGGCCCAAGGCGACAAGGCGGTTTTTTTGAAAATTGAATATTCGAAATATTTATATCTCTAAAATTTGATAATATTGACAATGCTTATTTATCTATGATTAGTACGAATAACCAACTATTGGTTTTGTCTCATTTTCAAAACATATACACTATTAATTTAACAATCGGTCAAATAAAAAACTAGTTGTAAGTAGCATTTTGCCTTAAGACAAGTTGCATTAACTTCGTTTCATTCGTTCTTCGTTTCATTAACACGTGATTTCCAATTTATGTCTTTCAAACATACTCATTACTCATAATATCTGTAATTGTATAAATTAAATTAATTTAACACATTTCATTTCAAATTCTAAGAATGTGTTTTAAGTGTAGAAGACGTTAACTGTAATCAGTAGTTACCTTTGAAACAAGAAACGTACCTATACTCTTCTTTCTATGAAACGTACATATGCACGGCATAGACTAGTTTAGAAATAGACTATATAGATTGATGAATTTTCGAAATTCAACCGATTATTGTAGGCCTATAATATTTTAGTCTATTATTTTGGACTACTAAGTCTTTAGTCATACTAATAGACCGATTGTGCCGCACAACAGACCAATGTTATGGCAAGGCTATGTTATAAAGAACTATAGATAAAAGAAGAGTATAAAAAACTTTCCGTACTAATTCTAAATATTGATAAAAAAACATGTGGTTGCTGTGCAGTCAGGCGTTTTTCTCAGAATGTCAGATAGAAAACCTAATCTAGAAACCGCACAAAAGTAAAAAAAAAACGATCTTAGATAACGGGGTCTTTCTGACCCAGCTTCATAACATACGAGTGACGTTGCAGTTTATATGTAAAACGTCTGAATGCACAAGCCAATACATGACTTTTGACAAAAAATTCTAGGTACATATTATGATTAGTAATGTACCATATAGCAGGTGTGCCGTTATCGAAAATAATACACATGTAAAACTAGCAACTTTATATAATAGTGTAAATGAATTTTACACCAGTGCACCCATTCAATGAATAATTCTGTCATCAGAGCCGACATTAATTTTGCTGGCCATCTATAGGCGAAAGGCAAAAGCTACTAAAATAGTGATTTTGAGTGATCACAGCGCTACGAAGCAGTTCTTCTCGAAAACCATATGCAATATGTGTAACTGGTCTTATCCGTATTTTATCTATGACTAAGAACGATGCGCGGCATTTTTAAATTTATATTTGCTTACTTGCAAATATGCAATTTAATCACATTTTAATATATTGCGATTATTATTAGATCATAATGCATGTAATACTATATGCATATTATAAGAAGTATTTGCATTCAAGTAACAAAGAATAATTATTGAATATGCACAGTATATAATAATAATAATAATAATAATAATAATAATAATAAATAGTAATCTGCTCAAAGGCATGCCCATGGTATAAGAACACCTCAAAATCAATTATTTTCTTTCCCTCTCTTGCTTATCATTCCTTAATTCTATTTATTTTTATGAATTTTCCTTTCCAAACTTCTTCAGTGCTTCGGCTTTCAGTTCCCTGCATTTTCTCTTCTCGAGTAAATCGTCAATCGTTTAAAACAGGTTTAAGCATTTAAATTACGAGTTTTGACAAAACGGTTTTATAAAAATATTTAGCACTATGATTTTTACACAAAACTAATCAATTGGTATTTTTTAATGCTAAATGCTCAACCATTATATCAAATTCATTTTGATACATCTCGACATATTCTTAATAGAAAAAAAAAATTAAAAAACATGTTTAATCCGTACCCACAGATAAAAGAAGAGTACCAATCCGCACATTCAAATTTATTATGTATAATAATTATGTATTTGATTATATTAAACAAATTTGAATCATATACTAAAATTAATTATTTAAATGTAATTTAGGATATCAAAATAATGCTAAAAAGAAGTAGCAAGGTCATATATACAAATTCAAAACAAATCCGATCGTAATGCGAACTTACAATAAAATGATTTTTAAAACAATATTGTTTTTTTTCTTCTAGCATGTATAGATAGTACCATTTTTTTAAAGTAATTTGTGTAAAATAATGTAAATGTAAATAATTTATTTCAATAATGAAATTCCACTTCACCTGCAATTCAAGATCCTGTAACAATTTCAAACATAAGATTTAAGATTACTTCCCCTGTTATAACAAAGTAATAAGAACTTATTTGCTCTTTGAATCTTCATTTAATTTCATTCTTTGCCCTCTTATAACAAAGTAATTAATCTTTTGCTAAGTTTGTTACAGTTCTCAAAAGAAATCGGTTTCTGTTCAACATACATCATTCAGTTTCACCAGGAATTCAACTCAGTTGTGCTCATATCTATTCATCATACTTATTTTAATATCACACTAGTATAAACAAGTCAGTTAGACAAAAAGTATAGATGCAATGTACTGGAAATATTCATAGACGCAATTACTAAAGATCCAAACATGACTCATAACATTCTCTTATTACCAGCATCGGAACAAGAACTATACATAAATATAGAAAAAGTATGAATAAAATGGCATTGTGTTTTATTTTTTTATTGAGATTTATTTATTTAATAATATCAAAACACTAGCCTCAACACTAGCTTGACTATCAGTAACGTAGTCTTATTATTAAGTAGGAACCATAATATTTATTGAACAGAAATGCAACTAATATTGTCTATATAGTACAGACAGTGTCAATAACAAAGTAAGGACATTCTCAGATGTTAATTTTTAAGGAGGCAGTTCGCAAATAATTCCTTTAATTGTCTTTAGAACAAATACATTGCAACCAACCTTCGCTCTGCTCAGAATGTAAAAAACAGTCTTTGCAATAAATGCAAATCTTTTCTTTTTACAGTTGGATCCTTTGATACAGTATAGTGATTATGGCTTTATTACAGTTGCGGAAATGTTATTAAAACTAACCAATTTTTAAATAAAACCACATTGTTATTTTGTCCATATTTTCCTCTCAAATACCTCTTTTCTTACATCTTTAATTACAAGTCAAAAACGATTTCTAATCTTCTTATAGTGTTTATTGTAAATCATCGAATATAGAAGTTTACATAAAGATTTCAAACAATAAAGTTCTTAAATTATGCTATTTTTCAACTTCTAATTACTTTGATGTCAAATTTTATTATTTAGATACACATACTAAATAATAAATCATGTCATATTGAATTTAGTACAGGGCATTCTCCGATTGCATATGCAGATTTTTATTAGACGTAACAGTTAAAAAATTACAAAACCTGGTGGTACCACATCATACCTAATTTAATTTTTTTTTTATTAAGTTTATTGCGATTGTTTTGTAGTCTTGTTGTGTTTATTGTAAATCATTGAAGTTTACATAAAGATTTCAAACAATAAAGTTCTTAAATTATGTTATCTTTTTAACTTCTAATTACTTTGATTTTAAATTTAATTATTTAGATATACATATTAAAAAATAAATGTCATATTGAATTTAGTACAGGACATTCTCCGATTGCATATGCAGATTTTTATTAGACGTAACAGTTAACAAAAATACAAAACCTTGTGGTACCACATCATACCAAATTTCATCTTTTTTTTAATTAAGTTTTTTGCCATTGTTTTGTAGTCTTGTTGAAGGCTCATTTTGATCTGTTATAATTGCTGTCTTATTTACCTTCAATTGATTTTATTTTATCATGGCGATGCATTACTAGGCTCAGGTAAATTTTTTAGCATTGATAATACTTATTCAAAAGCCTTAAGCATGTTATTTTGCAACGTTGAACACATCAGTAGACGTAACAGTTAAAAAAATAACCTGGTGATACCACATCATGCCTAATTTCATCTTTTTTTATTAAATTTATTGCATTGTTCTGTAGTCTTGTTAAAGGCTAATTTTGATTCTGTTGTAATTGCTGTCCTTCTTTACCTTCCATTGATTTTATTTTATCATGGGGATGCATTACTAGGCTCAGGTAACTTTTTTAGCATTGATAATACTTATTCAAAAGCCTTAAGCATGTTATTTTGCAACGTTGAACACATCAGTAGACGTAACAGTTAAAAAAATAACCTGGTGATACCACATCATGCCTAATTTCATCTTTTTTTATTAAGTTTATTGCCATTGTTGTGTAGTCTTGTTAAAGTCTCATTTTGATTCTGTTGTAATTGCTGTCCTTCTTTATCTTCCATTGATTTTATTTTATCATGGGGATGCATTACTAGGCTCAGGTAACTTTTTTTAGCAATAATAATATTGCTCATTTTGATCTGTTATAATTGCTGTCTTATTTACCTACAATTGATTTTATTTTATCATGGCGATGCATTACTAGGCTCAGGTAAATTTTTTAGCATTGAAAATACTTATTCAAAAGCCTTAAGCATGTTATTTTGCAACATTGAACACATCAGTAGATGTAACAGTTAAAAAAATAACCTGGTTGTACCACATCATACCTAATTTCATCTTTTTTTATTAAGTTTATTGCCATTGTTTTGTAGTCTTGTTAAAGTCTCATTTTGATTCTGTTGTAATTGCTGTCCTTCTTTATCTCTTCCATTGATTTTATTTTATCATGGGGATGCATTACTAGGCTCAGGTAACTTTTTTTAGCAATAATAATATTTATTCAAAAGCCTTAAGCATGTTATTTTGCAACGTTGAACACATCAGTAGACGTAACAGTTAAAAAAATAACCTGGTGATACCACATCATACCTAATTTCATCTTTTTTTATTAAGTTTATTGCCATTGTTTTGTAGTCTTGTTAAAGGCTCATTTTGATTCTGTTGTAATTGCTGCCCTTCTTTACCTTCCATTGATTTTATTTTATCATGGGGATGCATTACTAGGCTCAGGTAACTTTTTTAGCATTGATAATACTTATTCAAAAGCCTTGAAATCAACCTGATAATCAATATTCCTGATTTGTTCTCCTAACTCAAGCATGTTATCACCATGTTATCACTTTGATTTGCATTTATATAACTGTGCTTTATCTTATGCTGGAAATAAAATGTACTTCATTTTTTTCAGCAGTGTTTTTTTTGGAAAATACTTTGGTAACATTCCTGTAATTTTTTATATTTCTGGCGTTATTAGAGAACCGCAAGCGGAATATGTTTTATCTACAGGCAATGATGAGATTGCACATATTAAAGCGTTCCCAGAACCACATATGTTAGGGTCAGGCCTAGGTATCAGTTAACTGGTATTTATACTCAATCCATAACAAGTTATGCTATAAGTCAATTTATAGGGGATCAATAATCAAACCTAGTCTGATGAGCAAAACTCAAATAGTATCGAACCTCTATAATTACCTTATCCAACATTCCGTCGATTTCCATAGCCATATTATCACAAATATGTTCTACGAGCAGGGGTGATTTATCGCTTCCTCCAGAGGATAAGCACCCAGGGGAAGATATCCCCATTTTAGAAAAAGCTACCAATTTTAAATCCACATGGTTTTCTAAATGCCGAGCTTGCTTTCGCAAATCTAGAAAGGAAAGAATTGGGTTATAAAGTAAGAAGTATCTGGCAATGTATTTTACGAGGTCTAAAGATTTGTGTGTAATGTAGAATTATTATTAAATGTTTATTTTATTATTATTTACCTTCCCAGCTCATTGTTTGCGCCTTTACAGCCATTATTTTAGTTCACTTATTAAAACCTACATTCATAATGGCGGTTACGTTTATTTGACAGCTCAAAGAACAACTCATGTTGACTTATCTATGCGTCAAACAATAATTCGCCATAGATAACAATACGAGAAACAGAGACTAGTAACTACTGACAAGAAAAGAATTTTCAAATAATTCCGATAGGAGACACCATTTTCTCGAACCATTATTTGAAATGGACTTTTTGAGCCTTATTTTGCACAAAATATTTATCATTGTATTATATTTTGATTAAGAAAATATAATTTATCATTTAGAACTGTTAAATTAAAAAAAAAAATAAAATTGCAACACGAGAAATGATTTTATGTTTGCTTTTCTGTGAGAGATGTCAGGACGTGTACTAAAAACTATGAATGTTATATATAATATCTACAATTGTGAAAAAATTATATACATACATATATATATATATATATATATATATATATATTCTTAAATGTTATATTTTTAGCCAATCGTCGATTAAAAGAAGAATAACTATTTATTTGTACTTTTCGACACAGTATGTGTGTCATCATTCAGCGATTTTTTTGATATTTGTACAGTATCACACCAGAAAAAAACAATAACAAAATTTAAAATAAAATTGGAAATAAAACAAATAAAATATATATACATATATACAAGGTCAGCCTGAGGTCCTTAGCGCCAGCATGCTATTCCCCCCCCCCTGTCTATTATTTTAAATGTTTTAACAGTTTTTCATTAAAGTTATATAAATATTTACGTTAATTTTTTTAAATACTTTTTCATAATTCTGGATTTAGTACACAAAATGTTAAATAATATTTTTTTTAAATATTAGAATGTTTATGTTTAAGCTTATACTGCAATCTTTTGTAAAAATATTCCAATTTTTATAATAGATGACAGATCTAGTTTTGGTAATTTTTGAACATTTTCAATCACTAATTTATAGGAGAGCTGGTACATAAAAATACTTAATTATTTTGTATTTGTTTATAAAATATATTTTATTCAAATGTTATAAAATTTTTAAAATTCGTGCTGTCGTTTGTGAGCAAACTTTGTCAAAAGATCAAACTTTGGATCACATATATGTCAAACGATTCAGAACGATTCGAAGTGTGGAGAAACCGAGTAATTAGAAAATCGGCATTTCTGCCAAAAACCAACTTCTTCTTGAGGAAGTTAATAAATAGTATCAGTTATAAATGCTCAATAAAAGCAATACTGACCCAAAGCAATCTCTGTTACATTTTTATATGAGAAATATTAATCAAATAAAAAAATATTTAAAAGCGCAAAACTGTAAGTGTATGTATTAAATCATTCTGATCGGATTTTTGGTCCGTATCTTCGAAACGGCTGGACCTGCCATTGCCAATATCCCTCATCGATAGGATCGAGGGTCTTTTGAATCATTCAAATCGGTTGATCCGTGCTTCCGGAATCGTGGGCAGTTTTTTTTATTCAAACATAAATAGGGCTCGCCCGTGGGTAAGCGGTTAAGAGCGACGGGACTTGATTCGGAGGTCCCTGGTTCCATACCCACTTCGGGCAGCCTGTTGTCAGGCAGCAGTGACAACGATTTTTACTTGGAAATATAGATAGCAATATGTTTCCAAGTGAAAATAACCTTCACCTGGCATTAATAAAAAATGTCAGACCTATTAGATAAATTCTAATAATAAAAAATCATCAAATACGAATGGATTAACCATTGGGTTACCATCTAAAAATACGAAGTAAGGACATAAACAATTGCGTTTTTGCAAAGATTCTGGCGTAAAATATTTTTTTGATACATTAAGTTTCATTGATATATTTTTAATTAAATTATCCTAAAATGTTACCATGGCTCATGGTGAACTTTTTCTGATATTATTATGGCGACTAATTTTTTTTTATTATAAATATATCGAACAAAATTTATATGACCTGATGGCTCTCCCAAGACTTGATTCAGAGGTCCCGGGTTCGATACCCACTTCGGGCAGCCTGTTGTTAGGCAACAGTGACAACGATTTTCACTTGGAAATATAGATAGCAATATGTTTCCATGTGAAAATAGCCCTCATCCGGCATTGCTGCACCAATAAAAAATTTCGCGCTATTACAGAAATTGTAATACATACTATTATATCGTACAGATTGGGTTTCCATCTGACAAACAGACTAATTTTAAGCCAAAATTAATACAACAGCTTATAGAACTATTATATTCTGAATGCTGCTCAAAAATAACTAAAAAAATCCAAACATATATAAAGACACATGTGTGTGTTTCCACATTTCTCCTGGTTCGATTTCCAAATTTTTCCTTCCTCTATGGCATATCGTCCCATTTGAAACGTATTTAGAGCGTGAGAAATCCAATTTGTAAGGTGCCCATACGACGATTTAGTTGGCTCGACCGAGGCAATGGCAGAAGCAGAAGTCGAGGCTACTAGAGTACTCCTCGCGCGCGGGCTTCATTCTTATTTTACATTTTAATGCGTTTTAGAAACGTGAGTTCCCAAACTGCACGCGAATTTGCTTCTTAATGATGTTTTGGTTTCGATTTACTCTTGTGTATCGTTAAAACAACCATTTTTATGCCAGAAGATTTGATATATGGTGGATACACATGCACACACACACACACACACACTAATACACACAAATATATACATATACACATATAGAAATCGTTTGCAAATATTTTCATTTAGGGGAAAGTTGATTGCCAAATTGAAAATGCTATAGTTCAGTCATTATAGTAAGTTCATCTCGGAATTCGTGATACCCAGCTGTAAGTCTGTAAATACTTGTATATTGACACCTAAAAGTTGTCTCAAAACTACATATGGCATTGACACCCTACCATATGTAGGTTTTGAGACAACTTTAGGGTGTATAAAAGTATTTACAGACTTACAGCTGGGTATCTCGAATTCCGAAATTCTTACTTAATTTGAGCTTAAATGACTAGACTGCTACAATTTTACAATTTTTATCAACTTTCTGTTAATAGTTTATAGTTATAGTAATCGTGAAAAAATAATAATTTTTTTTATATATTTTTACGTTTCAAAGGTTTCTGAACATTTTGGCATACCTTAGAAAAAATGGATATGTGTGTATGTGCGCGTGTGTGTGTTCGGATATAAAATTTTCGTCGACACTTTCGTGAACACAAATCAACCGATTTGAAAAATTCAAAAAACATTCGATTTCTATTGATAAGGAGACGAGGTGATTAGTTTTTGGCAAAGACAGACCCAGCCGTTTCAAAGATACAGGGCAAAAAAAAAACAAAAATGGTTTTTCAGTTTTTGAGAGAACGGAGCGTCCGATTTGAATAATTCAAAAAACATTTTACTTGTATTGACAAAATAAGAAACTGATTGAATTTTTGGAAATGCGGGCTTATCGGTATTGGAGATCTAAGAAAAAATTAGAAAAAAAAAGGCCATTTGGAGGTCAAAAATGATTATTGAACATATGCACATCAAATTATGAGATATTTTATAAAGATTTCAATAAGAAGTACAAATTTTGTTAATATTTCTATGGGTTCCATACCAATTTTTACTCGTTAGTCTGCGACGCGGCGCTCAAGCGCTTTAATGCTGTTAACGCAGTTAAAGTTTCAAACGTTTTGTAAATATAAAAAATAAATTCCAATGTTTCAAAAAAGTCAATTTGTTTCAAGAGATTCTCAGAAATCCAGTTTTTCAAAGTTTTCAAAATATTTCTAAGCTTTTTTAAAAATTTTAAATTTTTGGTGCGGGATGTTCCAGGGTTAAGGCACGATACCATGCACCACTAGTTTATTATACATGTTACTACACAGACTTTAGATTTGGAAGTTAAAAAAAAGTCTGATCCAACTTTCCGATACCCCCCTCTACAGCTCTACAGGGTAGCAAACTTTCGGTATAAAAGCTCAATGCCATGAAGATCGCTGTAGCCAATGTAATTAATAATATGAAAATACGTCCAAACATTTATTCTATACAATCTTTATAATATATATGTTCTATATTATTTTACATACATAAACCAATTTTCTTCTTTGCTCTTTACAATTGACTTCTAAATAATTTTTTTTTTTTAAATCTGATATTTTCCAAATCTAGTACTGCTTACTTCTAAATTAATTCAAATTGAGATTATATTTTATTTGAAATTAACTATTTTCAAATTCTACTTCTTACTTCAATTTCTATCAACTTCAAACCAACAATTTAATTTCTATTTAATTTTAACTCAACATCTGTAATTCTATCGTTTCAAGGATCATTGGCGTGTGAGTCAGGCACGTTACTGACTGAGCTATTCTCTCCACAATCTCATTAGTTCATATAAATAATGAATACCAATAAAATAATAATTATATAAATATTATTAATACAATATAAAAAATAGACTAACGCTTCAGAGTAATAGTTACAAACCTGTTGTACTCATAATCATTATTGACAATTTTTAAATTGTTGCAATTTATTTATTTGTCTAAAAATTAATCATTTGCATTAACGATATTGTAATCATAACTACCCTATAAATTTTACTACATTAAAATTTATCCATCAAAAGTACCTATCCATTATGTATGTATTACGTTTTATCCCGTTCTCCCTTAAACGAGTGCGAATATTCGATTTGTTTCATGCCTTATACCAATTTCACGTCAATTGGTTATTATTGCTCACCATATACTAAATATTAAGACTACATTACATCCTACAGGTGCACAGTGGCTAATTTTAAATAATAGCTACAGGGACGTACTTTGGAATTAAAAAATATATAAACTAGGTGTAAGTGGAATTTTTCTGTGAAACTGTCCGATAATTAAGTCAACCAACATGCAACACTTGGTATGCTGCTGCACCTATTTTTTGAATTACTGAATTATTCTTATTGTTAGCCTGATTTTATAAATTATATAATTCTTTCTATTTGTGGGTCCAATACAGTTTTATTTTATTCATACACTGTATTTTCCATATCGAATCTTGTCGGTCCAACTTATGTGCCTGGAGGCAAATTGCTGGAACTTCCCGTA